CATGTAGTGATTACTTTATTTTGTTGTAATTCAAAAACGAATAACCGTAGATACATGAAAATTACACTGAATATTTATATTAGCATTTCCCTATACACCATACAATTTTGACTCTGTTTGAGCTGTTTTCAGACATATTCAGTTTATCAAATTTTTTGGTTTTTTTTTTCTATAAATATCAAAACAGGTTTATCTGTTTTGCCAAAAAGTGTAAAAATTTAATACAAGGCTCCTGTTATATTGTTACATTAGCAGTTGAAAAATATTAAAAATACATAGGCATAGTTTTTTTTTATAAGCATTTAAAGATCGAATTTGGACAAAATTCATCAAATTTAAAATTGAATAATTATTTTGTAGTTAAAAATGTATAAAATGTTCAACTTTTATATCGAAGGATTGAAAATTTAAAACAAGATTCCACGTAAGTATTTAATTCTGTTACCAAAAAATCTAAAAAATACATAAGCACAGTTTATTTTTATAGTCATTTTAAGTTCAACTTTGGACAAAATTACATTAAAAAAACCTAGAATAACTATTTTAGTTATTTTGTTGTGGTTGTGTAATATTATTCGTGGGTACTTGAAACTTCTAAAGTACACTATTATATATTTATATATCTATGGACTATGATGGTATCAGGGTTTGTTGTTGACGTATAACGAATTATAAGTACCTAATGGATATTGTGATATGATTAATTTGGAATTTATTATATAGGCACCTATTTCAGTTAAATTTTTTTAATACGATAGATAAGTATTTAATGTCTTAACAGGTATAATTATACCTATAGACTGATATACCGTCTCCACTCAGAATCATTTTTCTTAAACAATGATATTATATCATTGAAATCAAATTTAATACTATCCTTTATACAGTGACCCAATTGTAACCTACTGTACAGCAGAGAGAATTTTTTTTTATTTTTTTTTTTATACTTGTGTCTGTCATCACCTTTTAGAAAAGTGAAAGTGCTTGGATTTTCTTCAACAATATCATTTCGGATAGGAAAGCGAATCTAGTTTTTACTTTGGGGGGTCAAAAGTAAAAATTTCCCAGTAGTTTTCAAAAACGCCGTGAAAAACAAAAGAAAAATTAAAGAAAAACTGGAATTTTTACTCAAAATCCGTTTTTGAGAACATCGATTTAAGTTTTGTTGTAACTCTTAAACAAATGACAGTTGGTAAATGAAATATTGACTAAGTGTTTATATTAGAATTTTCTATACACCATAACAATATCTCCAAATATTTTGACTTATTTTGAGCTGTTTACATTTTCAGTTTCCATTCTTTTAGTTTTTTTTTCTATAAATATCAATAAAATGTTATTTGTTGGGTACAAAAGCTTAAAAATTTAATAGAAGGCTCCTTATATATTGTTTCAAAGACAGATGAAAAATATTAAAAAAATTATGTAATAATTATTTTGTAGATAAAAATGTATAAAATGTTCAACTTTTATAGCTAAGGATTGAAAATTTAAAACAAGGTTAGGTAAGATTTATGCACAAAAATATCATCAAATATACTTAGTTATATCATAGATTGACCAAAGATACTGAAGTTTAAAATCGAAGCACTTATAAACAGGCACAACAAATAAAAAAATACAGATCGATCTGTATTCCTATAGTTTTTGGTTTGAATTGTATGTATTAATTAGTGGTATCAGTATGGACATTTTATAAAAAATAATTTTTGTTTTTCCAATAAAAATATGGTTTATTGCTTGCGGTTGCCGGTTTGTGAGTGAAAATACTTAAACAGCCATTATCAATATAATGAGTAGAAGGAAAATTAATCTGTTTAAAAGTCAATTTTAGATAATTTAATAGTAAAATATCACAAGTTTTAAAGCTAAATATTGGACATTGAAAACAAATTAACGAAAATCCACTCGTTTATAGGCCTATATTAAGTCTTCTCTTCAATTTGTATAATAAGTGAACATACTATAAATGTCACTCAGTAAGCTTTATTATTGGATATACTAAACTAGTTTCAGTGTTACACTAAAATTTACATTTGTAATTAGTGTGTAAACTGTAAAGTGCTGCTTTATTGACATATTGTACGTGCTCGTAAGTGCAGGAGAGCTCCAATATTTATTTTATACAGTTATTCACACTAATGATCACTTGACGCTTACTACGCAAACATTTACACCACCCATGTGCCTATTCACATAGAAAATTGCCTATATTGAACTCCTTAAAAACGGTCCATATTGTTTGATGGTAATTCAAATTATTAGATCAAGAAATGTTGTTTCGAAAATGTATCGTATTTTGTGGATAGTACTATTTGATTTAGAACGTCTTAATTCATTGGTATATCTAGTGTGCGATTTACGGCTGTTCTTTTTATAGTGATAATTTATAAAACATTGTAAAGCAAATAAGCTCTTACAGTCTTACTGCTGAATATTTTTTAATTTAATTTTACCAATTTTTGTTTGATTTTTTTATATAAATTATTCGGCAAAGGTAATTTATTTTATTAGTTGGTAAAATGGCCGATGTATCATAAGGGGAACGCAGCACACGTAATTTTCATACGTTTATTAGACAAATAAGTAATAAGCGGTGGTAACACATATTTCGGAATGTTCGATATTAATTTTTTAAAAATGAATTAACTCTTAGACAAAATATCTAGGCTTTTTAAGAAATGGATTTTAAATTTTAAATTTTAAAGGACCTCATGATTGAAATTTTTTTAAAAAAAATAATTACATTACATTTGTATTTATTTTGGGCACATCTGATTTTGAACCAAAAAAGTGATTATTAAAGAGCATAGTCTAGAAAGTGTATAAATTCAACCATTTTTTTTTTTCGAAATTACAATCGAATTTCAGGAAGTATGTTTAATATACTACCACTTTTAGTAGTTTTTAGAATAATTATGCAAACACGAATATATTTCATTTTTCGCGAAGTATTGACAATTGCGTGAGTTACATCCGGTGATGGTTGCATTAAAGCGATTCACGAAAACACCACTAGTGTTTGAAGTATAAAATATTTCACAAAAACTTGAAACATTGAATTTTTTTTTAACACAGATTAAAACACAATTTATTTAATTTTTTAACACAATGTTCAGTGTTCTAAATTCTAATGTTAGAATTCAGTAGGTATACAATATACAAGAAACATGTATACTATTGTTTACCTACTTGTGTCATTTAAACATTAAAATATTTAAAAATTTTGAATATCATTTTAAATGTATACTACTAAAGGTTAGGCATGCATACAGTACCATACAGTTATGAAGGTAATTTATGACAATTATATGTAAATATAAAACAAAATATATTAAAATACTGAAATATTCCATTTTTTTAAATTTTCAAACACTACTCACCACACATTAATGTTCATTTACTACAAACACATAGGCAAAGCCCAAATGGCCAAGTCATATAAATTGCCTAAATATTACTCCTTAAAACATGATGCACTTTGAGCCCGCTTAACTTATGTGATCAATAAGATAAAATAATGGCTATTTTTATTTGAATAAAACTGTAATTATATTGAAAATAATATATATAAATACTCATTTTGCACTAAGACACTTTTTTTTTTTACATTTTCTTAACTATGTTAAGAAAGGCATAGTGTTAGAACCATATATATATACAACTAGATAGCCGTCTTTATGCTACAGTTGTGACCAATGTTGAAATCGGCTACCATTTATAAAGCGGGCAATGTTTACATTTATTTTACATTAATTTATATACATATATATTTATCTATACATATATACTGTGATATTATTTTGTAAACATTGCCTGCTTTGTAAATAGCGGCTGACTTCGATGACAAGAAGGAAACGGTTATCTAGTTATTGTATATATTTATGGTTAGAACACAGTTAATGTACCTTATTATAAATAAGGAGAGTAATAGTTGATAACATAGTAACTTTGATTAAGCCTAATTGAAAAATTGAAATATGTACACATTTATTTGGTGCATAATTTATTGTTAATATTTCAAGTCATTTTTTTTTTTTTTTGGTTAAATATGTATTAGAAATATACCTATTTTTAATATTTATTTATTTTATTTGTAAACATAATATGACAAAATGATAATATTATAATTATTAATAGAAATTATAGGAATTTTTCTTTTTTTCCGTTTTATATAATAATCTATTTATTATAATATTCTTAATTCCTTATTGGAGAGAAATGGCAATGGCCAAAGTAGTGTGCATGGTTCAATATTTCAAAAATATGTTAGTTTATTATGGAACCTATATTTTAAATAACATGTGACAAATACTAGATTAATTAAAGTTATATTAACAGGAGATACATAAGATAGATGTTTCCTAACATAATTGCGATTTAACAAAATAAATAATAATAGAATGAATAAAACATAGAAATAAAGAATTTTTTTTATTTTTTTTTATATATTTATTATCTTTCAGATATTTATGAATTCAAATTACATTTTATGAAGTACATACATGCATTTTAACACATATTATTTTAATTGTGATAATTTAAGTTAAACCATATTAATAATTTAATTTCTGGAAGGTATAACACATAACACAGATTATTTTTCTATTATTATTGAGTATATTGTTTACTATAAATCTTCATATAAAGCACAACATAAGCTCAATGGTAATGTTATGTATGAACTTTTATATTGTAGGTATGAATGGGTAATTGTTTTAAAATACTTGCAACATAATTAATCAAACAGTTATAGGGCTAGGAAATAGAAAAAGTTACACGGGACACATATTATATTGACATATAAGAATTTAAAAAAAAAAATTTCATCAGATTGATATATATTTAAATGTTTTTTAAAGTTAAACAATTAACATACTGTATTAATACACTACAATATTGATAATATAAAAAATGAAAACAAATTAAAACAATGTATAAATGATTATTTGTAATGCTGTAAAAAAGGTTAGTATATTTTACAATACATAATATAAATCTTACTCGAGAGGGAAAAATAATGGTAGATATTTCTCATAATATTCTTTGTCAGTATCGAGAAATACGCAGAATATTATGCGTTCAATCTGAAAAAGAAATATTAATACAAAATACATAAATTGAGTTTACAAAAATTAAACTAGTAAATCAATCAATTTAACATTATGTAGGCACAAATTGTAATTCAATTCAATAACATTAAAATATTTTTTTAAAACACTAGAGAAAGATATTTGTTATTATTAAAATAAACGTTTTTTTTTTTTTAGATATTTGGTACCAATAGTAAAATAGATATTTGAGTTTAAGTTTATCTTTTAGTCAGTATTTAGTAAAAGAATGCTGAATTGAGAAAAAAATTTGTAGTAATACAATTTGATAAGATATGAATGTGTTACTTATTTTTAAATTTGTCAATCAAACAAGTAAAATAGCATATTACATTTTTAAGAACAACACTTTAGGATCTGAGTATATGATAAATTTTCCGGTTCCAGCCGATGAAAAAAAGGTGACTTTTAGAAAAATAAGCTAGACAAAACTGGAGGAATTTGGTTTGACGGATTTTATTTTTGAAAACGGATTATGATTGATTAACAAGTTAACTAGGTTATTCCAGAGGCGATTTTGAATATTTATTTTTTCAGCTGTGATATCCAAGAACAAATACTATGATATTTTTATATTTATAGTATTCATCAAGACACTAACAATAATTAGAATATTAAAAATTGCCTATGTAAACATAACCTAGTAAACTTGTTAATCAATCATAATCCGTTTTCAAAATTAAAATCCACTTAACTAAATTCCTCCAGTTTTGTATAGCTTATAGGTATAAAACTGAAATTTTAAATTGAAAAAAGTTGATCATAATTTAAAATCTCGGTCAATGCCTGTGTGTACTTAAGTTAATTTCCAACGAATATAAATAACGACCGATATACCGGTCGGTATTACTACTGTTATAATTCAGGACATTTCTAGGAAATATTGACCGAAAACGATTACAGATTAAATTCACACATACTTATGTTCATTTACTTTGTACACACTTATAAGTCATTTTAATGTCATCATGTTAAATTGCTTATATTAATTTCCTTAAAACAAGACCGACTGGAGCCCCCTTAAAAGACAAGATTATGAAAGTATCTGAAGTAGTATACTATTAGATTTTACAATTGAAATAATATAAGTCATGAACTAAATTTTACAATAGTGATAATTCTCAAATATTTATAAATAATAACAGACTATAGAAGAGATAATAACTATTATAAGAGCACAGTTTTGGCCTATGAAACTACATTTGGTATATTGTGCACCCGATAGACGGAAATAGAAAAATTATCTAAATATTTTATTGCATCCATATTATGCTTTATAAAATATAAATTAAGTTATAATATAACTTTAGACTTAAACTAGAATAATTATTTATTTGGCTTTTTCGTTATTAACGGGTTTTATTGATAATATGGTTTTAAAAACATATATTAAATTATTAATGTAAAAATTAATATATTACCAAGTTATGATCATGCTCTAAAAAGTCTCTTATGGCTTTCAAGGCAACAATGGATGCTTCTTCTTGCGGATACCCTAAACATGTTTTCATACATTTAATATTTAAAATTGAAACTATGTAATGTAGTTTAAAATATGTCAAATTTACCATATATGCCAGTAGAAATACACGGGAATGCCTGAATTTAAAAATATTGAAAACAAAAAAAAATTTTAAAATAAATATATTATTATTTTAATTTATACCTTAATACTTACAATTGTTCTTAACTTCTTTTCAACAGCCAAATCTAAACTGTTTTGATAAGCTGATTGCAGTTCTTCGGAATTTTCTCCTTTTGGTCCGACCGTGTGTATAATATCTAAAACGATTAATTTAAACTATTTATAGATGTTAAATAATATTAACAAAAGAAGGAATTATTATTTTTTTCTAAATTATTAGCAGTAAATAAATGGCTAACATCATACATTTCAAACAGAAAATATATATTCAGATAATATGGGAAAAATAATACCTAGTTGTTATTGTATAGGAAGTTTTACTGAATAGATTGTTTTACAGAAACTATTGATATTTTTTGGTAAAAAATGTTGTCCTTTACTCTTTAGTGAACACTGTTACAATAAAAACTATTTTTTCTTATAATAGACAATGATATGCAATAGAATCGCAGCTCAATCTTCAAACACACACATATTGTGGTAATATCCTTACTCTTTAAAGACTTAATAGAGTAAAAATGACCTTTCTGTTTTCCTGTAAAAATTATATGTAGGCTAAATGTGGGTGATTCTGTTATAATTTAACACTCATTATTTCAAAAAGTATAATCTAAAAAAAAAATTGTTTACTTTATTTTTAGTCTTTAAAAACAACATTTTTAAAATTTATATAGTTTTATCCTTTACAATTTTGAAGTGTTTTACCTTTCGAATGACAACATTTGAATTTCATATTTCAAAGGTGAATATTTTTCAAAGTATTTCGATTCATAAAAAAAATTTTTAGGAAATTGTTGAGTGGTAAGCGGGGCCTCCTTATAATATTGGTCCACTACTCAGCAATTTTAAACATACAATATTTATAACTCATGAACTATTCATCTTAAATTTGGTTGTGATGTGTCAAAATAACTCAGAAAAATATTTTGCTCAAAGATGAAATTAAAACTGTTATAATTCAAAAAAAAAAAAAATTAAGGATAAAAATATTTAAAATATAATTTTTAATAAACAAAACACGTTATTTTGTAAAGACATGAAACTATGTAAAAAATATATTTTCAAAAATGTTAATACTTTTTGAATAATGATTGTGAGATAACATACATTTTTTTTCAGGTATTCTTGTTACACATTGTATATAAATACATGTAATAATATTATTAATGGGGTTTAGCTCTTACACTTGGCAGGGAGTTTATACCCTTTGGTGATTTTGGCACAACCGGTTTTACAACCGTTTAACGCAGCACATTCTGCCTGAAGTTCTCGGCCAGCAGCTTTATGAATAGCGCCATCAACTATGAAATATTGAAATATTTATTAGATAGTTGATTAGAGATATTGGTATGAGATAAAAATTTAAATATATTTTTACCTCCTCCTCCTCCGGATAACTTAGAGTTGGCTGCATTAACAATAACATCTATTGCTAGTTTTGTAAGGTCGCCTTGATACAAAGATACTTTTTCATTTAACTCTTTATTAAACTCTGGTTTTGGACCATCAATGGGTTTCAAAAATGATGGTTTTTCTGTAAAAGAAAGAATAAACTTACCAACAAACTTATATATAATTTATTTAAATATAGTTAAGGTATAGCTACACCATTGTAAGTACTTTTTCAGTCAAATCATTAAAGAAATTCTAATTATAGTTTTACTTTGAACAATTGTTTGATTTAATTATTATATACTCCATTGAAGTTCTTGGAAATGTGTATTGTAATACAATGAGTCCGCGTCTAACAAACTGGCGGCTGGTAACCCTGCTGGGAATCAACGCTAGCCATTTAAAACTGTATATTTTAGGAAACGGGCATATGCAGAAACTGGATTTGTAAGAATAGGTATAGGTATAGCTCCCCAAATATAATTATGGTACCAAGTGTCAGATCGACACGCGGAGCAAAGTCACCAACGGCCAGTTCATTTGACGCTGACTATAGTGTATTGTATTACATTTAAGTGGTTGGATAGTAATCTTATTTAAAAAATGTTAGACAAATAATTGTTGTTGTAGTGTTTAGGCCTTTTGATTTATGTTGTATAATATTATATTATATACTATAAAATTGATATTTTGTTACTTGGATGACAAAATAGTCCAATATCTGACCAGGAAAAACCAAAAACAATTTCTGAAGTGTTCAAATTATGAGTTCATAAAAATAAATAAAATTTACTCAAAATGCACATTTAGGTGTATTTAATTTTTTTTTTGAAAATTATTAAAATTATTAAAATATACAGTTCAAAAAATTACATGGAAAATATGTTAACCATCAACATGTTTGCTGCGTATCTTACTTAATGTCATGACACTGAAAAAATAAAAAATTAATGTAGGACTTGAAAACGTAAGAAATAATAGGTATTAAATGAGAGCTGACAAAAAACGAATTTAAATGTGAATGCAACGCTGACCAAATTGTTCAAATTGTGCATTTAATAAAAAGGTAAATGATACCATTTGTATTCAGTATATTTTGCAAGCAATGTTAAATTACACCATTTCGAGTCATCCTCAGTGAATCCATTACGTTAAAAGTACAGAATTTTATTTCAGGTGTATTTTGTAAATTTAATTTTACAGTTTTATGCTTTTATTAAATAATATCAATAAAACAACTTCAAACTTTTCTTTAATTTGTAGGCAATAGAAATGACAAAAAAAAAATTGTTTCAATTTTTTTTTCTTAGGTACCTTTATTTGTAATAACTAATAAGTAATTCAGATTTAAGTAATTATTTAAACGATTTTAAGAACATTTTTTTAGGTAACAGTCATGATAATAAGTTTTATAAAATAATTATAAGTATTTTAACACGTTCAACGCCGCCCGTGATTTCAGCAATTATACCGCGACGCCGCGTTGCAGGCATCCGTTGTAGTATCGTATATAACGCCAAATGAAACAAATTATTGTATTTTCAATATTATTAGTGGCAAAGTAGCCATATTGCATGATACAGTATGTTACTATTATTAAATAACAGTAGAAAAATTCATAATATAATAATATATCTAATATACACCCTGTATACGTTCATATACATTTTCTTGGGAAGGCCGTCAAAAACAACGATTATCAGTATCTAATAATAACGAAAACTCAAACCAATTATAGATTTAAATTTAGAGTTTATTGTCTACAGCCTGTGTACATTTCAGAGTTTATTAAAATAAAATCGATTAAATTATGGCGGATACAAACGTACATGTTACTGACGCGTAAACGCGTCACTGGCCCAATGGAATAAACTCTGTTGCCGCGTATACGCGTCAGCGGCGTTGAAAGTGTTAAAAAGACTTATCTGCCAATGATTTTATATTCAATGAGGCAGCTTATTATAAAATATATAATACCTCATTGAAATATGATTATTTTTTATGGCATATATTATACGCACATGATATTATATAAAACTATTGAAATTATGTATAAGTGCATTTTATTTCATTTCATGCGATGCCAGATTATTAAGCTTATAGTGACTATTAGAAATAATTATAATAATTTTTACAAATACGATCTTTGTTTTTTCTAATAAAATATAATTAGTGATAATACCTCTCAAGTGCCAATTTTATTTTATACTTAATTGGCACAAATTATGATTATCCATTGTTATGATTTATGTTTATATTTTTTTAAGTCCAAGTCCTGAGATTACGATGCATTAGGTATAATTATTAAAAAGAGTTGAAACATTTGGTGACTATTCTGGTTGTAGCCTAGCACACGAAAGGCTCATGGATCAGATTTTTTTAAGGGGCCCCCATCATGAAATATAAAATTTATTTGACATTTTGGTGAAAAAAAGCCCATCACCTTTTTACCTTTAAAAATACATTTATTCAAATTATGATTTTTAACTAAACTTAAAAACAATATATTCAAATTCTTGATATTTTTTGTACTACTATTAAAGAGTATCCTGTGGCTACCTATGCAAACTTCTATTTTTCAAATGAGAATCTCCTTTTTTACTGCAAATTATTTAGCAGACGATGTTCTTGTAAACGTAGATATATCTAAATTTACATTAATTTTTTTTTACTTTTAATAAAGTAAAAAGAGGATTCATATTTTAAAAACTGAAGATCGCATTGTAACAACATCATTCTTAAATGGTATAAAAAATCTCAAGTATTTGAAAATTTTCAAGAGTATTTAGAAATTCTAAAAATCAAAATTTGAATATAAAATGTACAATTTAAGTAAATAATAGGGAGAGCATTCTTGAAAAATCACTCCGTATAATATTAACGCGAAGCTTAACGAGGGAAATCATTCGTTTAGTAAAATAAACTATGAAATTATTGAATATTTAAAAATTTGAAACTGCAAAATAATAAATAATAATTATTAATTAGGTACACTAAAAACGAAATTACGAAACCCAAAATTATATTTATATTACCCTATAGAATTTTAACTTGAAGACAAATCCATAAGCTATATATATGCATAATATTATTCACGTAAACTTTCAAAAGTAAATGTAAAATCTTCATCATTGTTTAATATTTAATTATGTATATATAGGTATAAGTAGATGTATAGTATTATAAATCATACATATTTTTGTATGCAACATTTTCATGATCGCTGAATCCAACAGCGGAGCCATTGCAGGGTGGGTGAGCGGGGCCCTTGTCGACTCGTCTGAGCAAATTGTTTTTGAGGAGAGATATAAAACCTAACTTAACTTGCAGTAGCCCAATTAATCCAAAAAAAACCTCCTCCTACTTATTATTTGACACTTGTATAGTACAAGTAATACACTTGTATAGTGCCCTGCTCTCTGTAAAGAAAAATTGAGTACGGTTAAATATATCGATAAATACTTTGCGAGGGGCCTTACTTACTATATAGAGCAGGCACACGCCAAGCAAATGACAAAATGTACGAGACCCTAAAAAAAAACAGGAGGGTCCTCGGCCGCAATTGCGGCCATGGTCAGGCCTACACCGTACCAAAATTTAAAACAAGAATTAGCATTACACATAAATCCCAAAGCTGCAATTAATTATTAATGTGTTTAAGAATCTATGTTCTGTCCACTGATGGTAAGAAGTTATATAAAAAATGATAACAGCTTATATTATTAGATGTAGACGTACATGTTAAGATTCCTTATATACCTATGCTTTATTACTGTATATAAAAAAAATTTAAAACAAATCATTATTCATGTTTTTTTTGAGATGTGTTGTTTATAATATACCTATATTAGATACCTACTTGGGTTATGGAATAACTAGTAATTTTTTTAAATAATTTTTGCTATTTTAAAATTGAACTACCAATTATAAACAAAAATTATATTTTATTCCCTCCATTAATCATTAATATGATGATACTATATAATATTAATAAGACCAATTACCTAAACAGAGATAATAATATTGTTTGCGTAAAAACACAAATATTTTTATTAATATGTTTCATTGCAAATCAGGAACACTCGGCATTTAAAAAACCACACAAGGGTATCTTAAATATAAACAAGTTGTAACCCATCGTAAATATTTTGTCGGTAAACAAGCACGAAATCACGACATTCATAATAATAATTAATAATAACAATAATAATAATAATAAACTAATGGAATAACCCTCGTGCCTCTTAACCTCCAAAATTTCTGACGCGGATTGGGCACCTAAGTTTTTCTGAAAAACCAAAGTTGAGAATCAATCGCAAAGCGATGGGGACAGAGACTGCGGAAACCGCGATTCGCGATCAATTGGTTTGGCGTCGGCACAAACGACGCAATAACGGGACGCGAGGGACGGGCGGGCGGGGAAAGACATTTTGAAAAAAATACGGATGTGATCCTTACTCGTGCTGTTCAAGACCTGTCTAAAGTATTCCGGCCATGGTAAAATGGATTCCAAGTTAACCGTAGCCATTTTACGGGAAATCCGAACAAAATAATTGTTGGCGGCGAAACGACGGCCGAGCACCAGCGCGGCAGTGAAACAGATCAAACTCCAACGGACAAACACACGATGCGAGCGGCAACAACGGCGGCAACAGCAGCAGCAACAGTGACAGAAGTAACACCGGAAACCGTAGTGGTCGGGTGGGAACAGAACCGCCGCGGAGCTGACGAAATTGACGTAATGACCGTAATGGTACACAGTCGTGGTATACCTCCACGAAAGTACGATATTTAATAATCAGTTACTATTATTATTATTATATTTACTGTCGGCCGGGACGGATGGAGTCGACGCGAGCCGATACGACACGAGAAAAGCGACGCGAAGCGGATTGAACCGACAACGAACGCGAAATAATAATAATAATAATGTAATATTATTGTAAGGGTATTTACACGGCGACGGTGTACGAAAAATACATCGTAATTATTATTATTATTATTTTAAATAATAATAAATACGTGAAATTTCCCGATAACGAAGCGTAAGCACACTGATAACGGGCGGCGTCGTAATGGTCGAAAAGCGGTCGCGGGAAGGAGTGGAAAATGTTCTACGTTAGACGTGTTGACGTGTTGTTGTCATCGGGTCGACGGGCCACTAGTGCTACCGACGACTACTGCTAATGCCGCCGCCGTCGTCGTTGGGGACGACGTCTTATCTCGGACGATAAAAGCGATAACGTCGATGACGACGACGCCTGCAGTCCAGTATTCCAGTTTACAATCACTCAGTAGTCACAACATATTTTACCGTTGCGGACGGAAGTACGGAACGTTGTAGTTGTCGGCTTGTCGCCAGTGTCTTACTTACTGCGCGCACGGACGTCGTCTCACGATAGCAATAATAAAAACATTTCGTTTTATCATTTTCCGACGGATGACGATAACCGTTGCTTTAATTTCAACCGACGACACTGTGCAAGACAAATTATTTATCGACAGCATCCTTGGTGGTCCAGATCCGTTTGCGACCCGTTTTCATCCCGTTTGACGACGGACCCGCACACACTTGCGCCCCAAAGCTCGACTTCCAGCTCCACCCGCCCACGCACGACCGCGCTCTTCGACCATGGTGAGTCCGTACTAATGTCGCCGACGCTTGTTCGTTAGATTCTTATTGTTCTCGTTATTATTATTATTTTTTTTTTTTTTACTCCATCGAATTATTGATTTTTCTTTCGAGTGTAGTACTTGACACTCCTCTGTAAGTTCCAAGTAGGCTAACATGCATAGGTAGGTGTTATTTCGTTGTACTATTATAATAGCTGTGGGGAAACAGACTTTTGAATTGATAATGATATTGACTGGGTAGCATTTAATAATAATAAAAAAATAAAATAAATATAGGTACCTACTGATTATTTCGGTACAATTTCTTCTCGAGCACCTTTTACATCCCAAGACTGTGATACTTATGCTTGAATATTTTCTATAATTGTTCAATATGGATAGTACAACATATATAGCCCAACTATACTTATATTAATTCAAAATTATTAATAAAATGTGTACACGTTGGACAAATTGACTAGACAACCTGACCAGATGGCAAGTCATTAATGTTGAAAAATTGTATTAAGCTACTAACCCCCTTATGGTAAATAGTTTAGGGATTACCTTAACATTGTCATAAGATGTCTTTTGACAATAATTTGGCTCAGCTAATGTTTAAGTGCACGGTTGCACCCACGAGATTATGCGAGCTTAATAAACGTTGCTTATAAAAAAATAATCAATAGTTATGCATTTTGTTAACAAAACACAAAGGCACAAAATAAATTCAAAACAACAAACCTCTCGTCTCACTTGTAAACTATGAACTATGTTATACATAGATTGGTTGTTTGTAGGTTAATAAATTCTATTCTTTCTTGGCATATATATACATTTATCATCTTATATATTCGTGACAAATGTCAAAAGTAAAATATATAAATACATTTTGTGCCAATTGGTTTAATTATGAAATAGCTTGTATCATTCTATATAATATTAATAATATAGAAATGTAGTAATGACATAATAATAATGACTATTTACTAGTCTACCAAGTTTACCTGCTGGGAAAGCCACGGCCTGTACCTGTATTGTATTTGAAACATTGATACCTATTGTATTATATATCATGATATTCATCATGGACACTTGTGACTTTGATAAGTATGCAGTTTTTAAACATCTGCAAAACCAATTTTTATTATTTTTAAACTTGCACCTAGGCTTTTACCTAGATAACTAAAAGTTGTATTTTCTATAATTTACTAAATTAATGTTGATCATTATTTTAATCAGAAAATTATATACTGGTAATATTTAATTTTTATATTTATTTGATATAGGTAAATAGGGAATACACGGGAATACATTAATACCTATGCTAAAAAAACTTTCAAAATACGATTTAAAAGTTATTATACCTAATATGATACAAAATTAGAAATGCATATTAATGTATTTTTAAATAATGAATAGGTTAGGTTAAAAATACGTATATTGAATTTTAAAAGTTACAAATATGCCTTTGCTATTAGTTGAAGTACATTCAACTACCTATAGTATTAATAATTTACTATTTCCAAAGTAATAAATAATAACGACGCAATCATAATAATTTATTATTTCAAAAGTAATAAATCATAATGATATGATCATAATTGTATTTATATTAATTGTGAACTGCAAATAAAGTACACTCTATTATAACCTGGGATGTTGTTACACGATATTTTAAAATAGTTCTAATTCCAAAATTTAATAATAATACCTAATCTAAAGCATGCACTATACAATTATAAATATGCATTAAATAGGTTAAGTATATGCAAACTATGTAAAATGCAATTGATCTTATGTTAATAACTAATAAGGATGATTAAAATTGGGCAGATTTTTCAAATAGCTTATTTTAATAAACATTTTCATTTACAAATAAACACATTCCCTAATAATATTCCAAGAAATGTAATATCATAATATTTTATATAACACTTTCGGCATACTTAGTATTTAATTTAAGCAAATGAAAACTGAATACTTTGCTTAATTATTTACATAACCTCAATAGCATTTTAATAGATTAATTAATTTAACTTACATACAGTTCGGTATGGCTGATATTAAAATTATTTAAATGAGAATTTTAGTAATAAAATTAATACTTCCAATTAGAATAATTAAACCTGTTTAAAAATTAAAATACCAATTAATAATACGTAAAATAAAAAATAAAATCTTCAAAAGCAACATCCAAACCAAACCCCTTAAAAACAACCAAATTTTGTTTTATATAGTTTTTTTTTAATAATTAATTTATAAGGTAAATTGAATTGTAGGTATATATTTTATTTTTTTTAATCACAGATTTAAAATAAACAAATAATAATTAATATGTTAGTAGTTCGAGGGAGTTGTTGGTTCTATAAAGACGTGTGTATTTTATTGCTATAAAATATTAAGGGGGTTCCAGTCGGTCATTTTCTAAGGAGTAAGAATTAGGCAATTAAATGGCAAGTACAATCAAGCTATGTCAATGTGTAAGGGTGTAAATGAACATTAGTGTGTGTGTGTGTGTGTGCAGTATATGTCAACGAGTCGCGACCATTATCCACATTCTAAGAACTGGCTTTCTGGCACTCGCAGACACATGCCAGTATATTAAATTAGGAAAAAGTATAAGGTTACTTATAACATAGGTAACATACTTAGGTTGGTGCGATTTTGATTCTGTAACAATCCTAACAATTATGAATACTCTATATGTCCTCTAAAGAATGGTCGAAGAATTTTTTAGAAATATTAATTTCTTCAATACATATGGTTGAATAAAAATGTTGTAAAAACTGAAATTTGTATAATATTATAATAATGTTAAAAGTTCAAACTTAAAAAAAAAGCTCCTACCGTTCTCTAGAGAAGATGTTAAGAAATGTTATTATTTCTACAGCATTAAAATTGATCCATCTAAAGTCTCACAATCTTGTCACAGTGGAGGGTCTAAAAACAATTTTTTTTTCTCCGACTAGAAGCACCTTAAATAAAAGATATGGCTTATACATTAAATACAATACTTAGACAAGTCACTTCCCAAATGCCCTAATATTTTTTATGAAAATAATAGTAAAGAGTACCCACCTCTAACATTATTTAAAAATAGTTTTTTGAAAATTGGAAAATCCTAAGATTGGAATAGTTCTTAGAAAACCATAATATCAATTTCTAGATTACTGAAAATAATTGTTGGGTTATCTATTCCAAAATCTTGTTCAAAATAATTATTTGATTCAGCAATAAGCCATTGTTAATGAATCAAACCCGTGACCCTACAAGTCACATACAGACTACTGATCCACATCAGAGGTCTTCATTGTCTCTACTTAATACCCACATATTTATGTATCTGTATAACATTTGTGTGTTGTATGGATAGGGTGATATTATGTCATTGTAAAGGCCAATAATAATTTAAGATTTGATAAATTTTATGAAAATGTAGATATAAGATCATTTTATTGCTATAATTTTACACAATGCCTAGATATTAGTCATTATTTTTTTTTCCTTTAGTAAATTAGTCATAATGTTAACAACTTGAATTATTAATATAGGTACACTTTTATGTTGAGTGTTCACAAACACTTTATGATTGTAATGTCTTATTTAAATTCATTGAGGATTTATGATCCTAAAATTAAGTAGCAACAGCAATTTTTTCTGTAGTAAATATATTGTAATTAATAAATTAATACTGACTTAAATAATTTTAAACATAAAAATAATGTAATATAATTATTATATTTAAATTATTCAGATTTTTTAACACTTAGGGTTATGATTACTTTTATTTGAAATATGACATATTGTTACATTGTCACTAGAAAGAATCATTGTGTTATCTAATCAAATATTGTACGTTGTAATTGTTATTAATCCTATGTTATACACTTATACACATGCATTTCTAAGTTTAAAATATGTTATGTACTGTTACTAATTTATTTTGGCCAACATACGATTTTATAGTATTTAGTCATATATTATTAACCCATTCACGAGTCATAACTCCTGAGTAAAATACTCCATTTCATTTGCCGTATTTATCTGGAGGAGCAGAGAGGTTGAAATATATAATATTCTATAGGCCATTTATAAGGGGATTCTACGACCATTTTTTTTAGAGAAAATTACACCTATATGTATTTTGACGTACTGACTTGAGTTTTACTCTGATAATAATTTTGAAAACAGATTTTATTTTGTAATTTAATTTCAAAACCTTCAAACCACATTTTTGGTTTATTATTCTTAAGAAAATCTCAATTTTTTATAAATTTTAATGGAAAAAAAAATATTGTTTTAAATTGTATTCATTTGTTATAAATCTGACTCCTCGAAGGATTCAAAATTAATTCAAATATGTTGTCAAAATTATTATCGAAATAAAACTAAATTCATTATGTTGAAACGTGGTTAGGTCTATTTTGCTCCAAAAAACCATTTTGTGGTGAAGAATAATAACAATACAATTATTATTACTTGGAAGAATTTTATCATACTTTTGATAGAGAAAATTCTTGAATCCGAATTTCACGAAAAAGAACTAACAGACTTTAGTTAAGACAACAGCCTCTTGTTGCCTTATTTTTACTAATTCCGATTAATTCTTCATAAATCGACATCTCTATGAAACTCCATTTTCAATAATAAAATCAAACGTAGGTCATGCCTTTCAGAACAGACTTAAGAAGCAAACTTGTGCAATGTTGTTTTAAATATTACACCAGACATTGATTTATTATGCAGAAATATACAAGCCAACATATTAATTTTAAAATTGTATTCAAAGGTGTTAAAAACGTATAGGTATGTATTTACTATTTATTTAATCTGAGGTTTTAAAACAATATATTATGTGTTTAACAATTTAACTGTAGTTTATAGAAAATAAATAAAAGGTTACAGAAACCCAATACTATAAATATGGAATTCAAGCTTGAATTACAGTTTTCCCTACTTGTATTTACTATTAATCAATTTAATGATAGCCTATAACCTTTTATTCTACTGCTGCATATT